CAATGTGTAACACATAAGTTTATGTAGACCAGATTTTGTCAGATCACTTCCCCAAGGAGTTAGTCAAGTATATAGAAAATCCTACTTTTTCCACTGCACACACAAATGAAAGCAACATCACATTAAAATACCTCAAACTTACTCCTATTTTACAGGGATTTCTTATTTACTCTTAATTCTTAATTAAGTTATCCCACTGATTCTTGCTACAAGAATTTCAGTTAAAACATCCAGTGAAAGAGAAGCGTTTCTTATTCCTTGTCCAGAGGACAATTTCTTATTCCACGTTCAGAGTTTACAGTACCAAGAATTTTCAGGTTTGTGCACTATTTGATAACAATTTCAGCAAAGTGTAGGGATATCTCAGATGCTCTTGGCAAGTATGTCTCGGATCTGGCCTATTCAGCTCCTAGAAGGTTTAGGCAAACCGTGCCCTGAAGGGGATCCTTGCTTTTACTACTGGGCAGCAGTACGCAAATACACAAATCAGAGCAGTGTGTAGCTGTGTGGTGTGTATAAATTCATAATTCCACTTTGTGGCCAAACTTTTGGTAAAGCTCCCCAAATCGGTGCTCTATTTCCAAGTATGGCTTGGAAATGCAAGAGACAGAAAAAACAACTTTTTCATTTGTTGTTGTTGTTTTTTGTTAAGATAGCTGCATATCTTAAAGGCTGTTTTAACAGTCTTATTAGAGGAGAAGACTCAATCAAATCGGATAGTTTGGGGTGTTTGTTTACTATTCTTCTTAACTGCCCCTACATTAACTGGTGTATTAAAATGACAGTGATGCTTTGCCACTTTGAATCTTTGTGGCATATTGATTATCCTCCCCCAAGGTCATCTGTGACAAATTACAGGCAGTGTAGTTTCTGCAAGCTTGCGGGGCCGGTACTACGGTCATGTCCTAGCACTCTTTGATCCATAGGTTTCAAAATAATGCAACATTCTTTGTGTTAAATTAACTTTACATACTTCAATTTATAGATTAAATTTAAAACCTTTTAAGCCAAAGTCATATAACAGCAAATATTAGGGCATAATACTATAAAAAGAAGTTCAAAAGAGGTACCTCTGAATATTTTGAAACCTGAGAAGCCATAAGTTTATAAGTTTGAAATATCATGGGTTAATGGATTTGTGAAGAATATCAGTGAAAAAAATATACGAATAAGCAATAAATCAACCTTCTCAGTAGGTAATTGTGTTAAGAACATCAAATTAAGATATAAAAATAATTTCACTATGTAATTATTTTTAATTTTAAGTACTGTAGTTCACTCACTTTAAACACTTGTGAGGGCCACTTAAAAATCATTTCTGTTATTAATGATAAGCACCATAGCCTGAATCCTCACTGTTAGCACTAAGTGAAATGTTGCACATATGGTCCTCCCAGCAACACTTTGAAGGGTTTCACTTACTATTCCCATTTTACAGATGTGTAAGTTGAGAGCACAAGATGTTAAATAACTAACAAAATGTCGTACTCCCACAAAATACCGGAACCAAGGTTCAAAACCAGATCTTTTAGAGGACAAGGTGCTTATTTGTGATCACAGTGCTGTGCTCATGATCCTAAAATTATAATCTATGGACACATAATAGAACAGCATAAATATGCTGTCATAGTAACCTGTGCATAGGTTAAACTACATTTTATTATCGCTGCTGAATTTTGTAACCTTCATCCCATGAAAAAAACTTGAGTATATACATATGCAGTGCCTCCATTTCCTGCCGTGAAGTATTTGCCTTTGAAGTCACCGCTTAGCTAGTTTGGATCTTGGCTGAGCATTTAGCAAAAGTTAAAATGTAATGCCAAACTTCATTGGTTGGATTTTTTATTAGATAAGGTAGAAATGAAAGCAGCAGGCAATTTAATTAGCAGTAATTTTTCTGGGCAAGTCATTACTTTGATGAACTTCAGAGCAATGTTTATGGCTCCTAATTAACCATGTTAGTCATTTGATTGAATAATCACTTTGGAAATGTTTCTACAATTTGATTAGAGTCTGACCCACTCTGATAGTCATAAATTAACTGATACCACTTTAGGATAACATGACTTTAGTTACTTTAGGGGAATAAACTCCTCTTAGCTATATTTTTTCAGGCTTCTCTGGACTGTACAGAGGATGCCAATTTTAAGGGTAGACTGGATTTAAACACTGCCAGCCAGTGTCTCAGTTTCAAAAGCTAGATGTTAATTTTAATTACTCTGGAGTATAATAAATAGTGTTAAGAGTAGGAAAAACACACTTATTCTTGTATATGTATTTTTTTCTAAGTTGCCATTGCTTGTTTTTCTTAGAACTTAGATCACAAACTTGGCCTCTAGCACTGTAATGGAGGTCCTGGCTTTAGCCTTATTACAAATGATTAATTTATTATGGATTTTAAATCAGTATGCTTTAAATGTCATAGATTAACAAACAATTTATGAAAAATATTACAGAATTAGTACAAGAAATAACAAATCAGCAAGGTCAATAGATACATGAGAATTCTTGAAATGATCATCAGATTCTATCTTTGATGTCAGATGTCCAAGATCACGCTTGTTTTGTATTATGTTAGAGTAGTTTTTTTTAATAAGATGTTCCTTCAACTTTATATAGTGGGTTTCTTACAAGTACTTTCAATTCCTCTTCTCCTCTCCTTCTTTCCCTCTTGGGAGGAAAGACTACATTTAGTCACACTTTATATATAATAGAGTTTAATCTATATGTTTTCCTCTAGTTGCCGTCAGAGCCAGCCAGCTGTTTTTACAGCCATACTCCAGCTGGCCAGCAGTCAGGAAAAGTATTTTGTGGCAGGGTGTCAACATTGGTACAACAAAATTCTTACCTCTAAACAGCTGCTGAGCTGATGGCAGAGTCATTAACACTGTCCCTCCTAGACCCAGCTGCTTTGAGGGTGCTCTGCCTGGCAATAAATCAAAATAACATTAAAAAGTAATTTGAAGTACCACTGGTTAAAAAGTATGGATGAAATGGATTGCTAACTTTTTGGTAACCTAGACGTTCAACCACTCTACAACCCCATGCTAAATCTCCTGATATCAGGAAACAAGATGAACTCGGTCTTTTGTATGGTCAGAATTCTATACTAGATAATTTGTCATATAAAGAAGGCTTAGTATACTAAAATGTTTGATAATAAGTTTATGCTGCTTTCAACTCATAAGTTGTTGATTTCTAAAGACTTTTAAATGTTATTGCTCTAATGAATCTCTATTAAGATGTTTTTGGCTAGGGGCACCTGGGTGGCGTAGTCAATTAAGCATCTGACTCTCAGTTTCAGCTCAGGTCATGATCTGGCACTCTTTTTGAGCCCTGTGCTGATGGTGCAGAGCCTGCTTGGGGTTCCCTGTCTCTCTGTCTCTCTCTACCCCTCCCATGCTCATGTTTGCTCTCTCTCTCTATGTCAATGAATAAGTACACTTAAAAAGTTTAAAAAGTATTTTTGACTAAAACCACATATTTTCTCTGAAAAAATATCTCCTATTTTGGTTGATATTAATCACCAGGCACATTTTTTAAAAAAGCAGATACACTTTAAAAATGGAACATTCCAAACTAAGAAAGAATGACCTTTAGGCCAAATAAATGGTGCTGCTTATTTATTTACAACGTTAAATTCTATGAATGGATAGTTAAGAAGAGATGAGGGTCTTTAGATCCCAATTCTTATAAGTGATCTTTATTACGTGTTCAGAAGTCATGTATTTACTACAAGTGGTAGAATGGAAGACATACTCATATTAAATAGTACATTTATCATATGTGTTTTATAAGTTTATCGTTATATGTGTTCAAAGTTTCAAACACTTGAGTATACATACAGAAGATTGAATTCATGTAGTCACATATATTTATACACCCCTATAGCATCTGTATATGTTATATACAGACTCTGGCCCAGGTTTGTGGGACCTAAAACATAAAATTTGGGGAACGTTCTGAAAGAAAAAAAAAATGAAATGGCATATACAAAATTAGGGGCAAGACCCTAGGAGGGACTCCTGAAAGTGGAGGATCCTTCCTGGAGCTACAACTTCATTGGCTTCTCCAGACACCGACCTCTGGTCAAGTAAGTGAACTTCTATATTCAGAATCAAATAGCTTGAGCCTGTAATAGATTTTAGATAACATCTGACCTGACCCTTTATTTTATATAAACTTAGACACAGAATGGTTTTTCTAAAGTCATGTAGCTTTGTTAGTAGTTAATAAAGGACTTGAATTTTAATCTTTTGTCTCCTAATCCATATTTCTTTCCTTGTCCCTGTCCCTAACCTACTAAAAATATTAAATACACAGCCATCACCATAACTCAACTTTAACCATTAGCCAAATTTATTTTTTCATTAATGAGTTAACTTGGTCAGATAGGTAAGACCTAACTCCTAGGGTGATAATGGTATTTGCTATGAAATTGTGGGATTTCTGTTTTATAGCCTCATTGGTTTGGACTATGACCTGTGTGCTTAACAAAATTAAAAGCTAATGATACTTTAATTTGGGGGTGAAAATACCAATTACCTTAAAAGGCTAGAATAATTGTAAGAGATAGAGCAGTTTTGGCATTTAATTAATAATTTCCCCCAGTGTTCATGAAATAAACTGTGAATGAGCTTCTGTTGAGCTTTGCTCTGAATACCACGGGATATACAAATTTATCTCATAAATGTTCCCAAAACGTATCTGAATTCATTACACCATTTGTTTCAAGGGCACTCTCCTATTCATGCAGGATTGCAGGAGAACCACTCTTCAGTAAATGTGGGTATAACTGTGAATTCACATGCCTGTTGAAGAGAATCCATGTTCACCATTTCTTACGTGGGCCCTGCCTAAAATGTTAACTCCCTGTTGACAAGCTCTTCTCATGGACACTCATGTCACTTTCGGTTATTTCCTCTTTGCACTCTGTCCATTGATAACCACATGTTTTCAGCTCCAGACTTCTCTTTAATGGGTGTTGTTTCTTCTTTCAGAAGTGCCTAGCTGCCACTCCATTTATATGAGGCAAGAAGGCTTCCTGGCTCATCCCAGCAGAACAGAAGTTAAGTTTTCTATTATTGAAATTCTTTGTAAATCCTGTCAAAATCAGATGTGCCAAGGATGCAATCACATGATTAATCATTATCTTTTATGAGAAAAATCAGTTACATTCCCTAAAGCACTATTTTAAAACTTTATGGTTTTCAAGTAAAAGAAAGATGTTTCGGGTCATGTTATCTTGAATTTGGTTGTTAACATGAGTCATGTGCATACAAATAGCTAAAAAGTGGATTTCTGTGTTCTGTTTTTGTTTTTCTTTAATGCCAACAAGCACATTCTTTTAAAATAGAACATGTGCTTTATAGACTAGCCTACCTTACTAATCTCAACTTAAATGTATCTTCAAGGAATGTCAGTTTTTCTTTACAGACCTAAGTCTCTGTTTTGAAATAAAAGGCAGTATATTTAAATATGTTTGCCTTTAAATATACTGGATTTTCATTTTCAGGCCAATAATAGTTAAGAATGGAATTTCACACAAGAGGCCCACAGAAGGAGTTTTTATTGTGGGTGTGTTCATGGTAACCATGGTGGGAAAGCTTTGATCTAATGAACTTTGATACCTACAAAGGAATGAATAAAAAAGATCTTCTTTGGATACATTCCCTATTAAAATATTTCTGGAAATGTGTGCATGGTTCTTGACATAAGCGTTCTGTGTCCTCAGGAAGATGACATAGATGCATGCTTTGACATTGGTTGTTTGGCATAAGTGATCTTAGTAGAAGAAAATTCTTGTATTCATTTAAAATTTTTTTTTAAATGATTTTTATTTATTTCTGAGAGAGAGACAGCATGAGCAGGGGAGGGTCAGAGAGACAGGGAGATACAGAATCTGAAGACAGGCTCCAGGCTCTGAGCTAGCTGTCAGCACAGCTTTATTTATTTTTGAGACAGAGCATGAGTGGGGTAGGGGCAGAGAGAGAGGGAGACACAGAATTCGAAGACAGGCCCCAGGCTCTGAGCTAGCTGTCAGCACAAGAGCCTGACACGGGGTTCGAACCCACAAACCGTGAGATCATGACCTGAGCCGAAGTCGGACTCTCAACTGACTGAGCAACCCAGGCTCCCCAAATCCTTGTATTTAAGTAAGAGTATAATGAGCTGGTAAATCAGAAATACTTGAGACCAAAATGTTTGCAGAAATGCGATGTAATTATTGCCGCTGCTGTCAATATTATGTACTCACCGTAGAGACTGAAATATTTGAGAAATGAAACTGTGATTAAATTGTATGAAATATCTTACTGGTGATCAAAGACAACAACAGTTCAGTGAAGGTCACAGTCAATGACATATGGAGGAGAAAATGACTGTTAAAGCTGTTGATATATTTTGCTCCTTTTTTTTTTTCCTGTGGACTTAAGTTTAGTTACAGGAAACAGGCGGAAAAAAAAGAATTAAACTGCCTTGGCTTTTGAACATGAAAACATGAGAAGGTTAGCCTAGCTAAATATTTCTCCCAGGAAGTAAGGGGTAAACTGAATGTATTTCAGTTTATCAGGATAATCATGTAGGGTAAATATAAGTAATTCATCCTGATTTCCCTCTTGTCTCATGAATAACAAAACTTGGAAGAGAATGAAGAAGGAGATGATGATACAGTATAATTTCTAAGTTTGCCAGTGTTTACCTGCTCTGTCCTTGGGTTACTAATGAGATAAATGCCTAACTGTCATATATCACTGTGCACTAGGTACTATTCCAAACTTGCATATATTAAATCCTTATCCTCACAACAACCCTTTAAGATAGGTGATTTAGTATCATTCCCATTTTATAGGTGAGGATACAGAGACACCGAGGCTAAATAGTGTGTCTAAGGTCACAGAGCTGAAAAATGGCAGAGCACTTTTCTATCCCAATTTTTGTGTTAAATGGCTATATTTTAAATTGCTTGTGAGTTTCATTACTATCATGAATAAATGTATCCTATTTCTCCCCACAGGCTGTATGTTTGAAAAGGGCCCCAGGCAGTTTTATGATGACACCTGTGTTGTCCCAGAGAAATTTGATGGTAGGTTTTTCATTGTGCTTCAAGTCTGATTTTTTTCTAAGAGGGAGTGGAGAGTTCACCCTCAATTCCCCTGAAAGAAGTTGATATCTCTACTTTAAAGATTTCTACGCACATCATGTGTGATGTCTTCAACTCTTGCTAACCTTTACCTTTTGTAAATTCTCTCTTCCTTCCCCTATTCAGAAGTTTTGTTTTCTATTGTCCTTGGAGAGATCTCGTTTTTAGAGTTACAACCAGAGTATCATTCTTGCTGAGCTCTGTGTTGAGTAAGAGGGGTCTTTCCATTGTCCCGCTGAGCACATGCAGCTTGTTGTTCGAGATTTATTGAAAGCTGATCCCATAATTAACAAAGCAGAACAGAAAGCATGCTACTGTGGATACACAGATGACTAATGCGGTCTTCTTCCTTTTACTGTTCATGAAAAGATGCATTAATGGAGCGCAGGGACAACATAGCTGCCCATTTCGTTAGTGATTGTTAGTCCTTTTTGTTTTTTCCTTTTATCCCCCCTTGGGAAGGTGTTCATTCCAAATCTGCCATTATTTTGTAATTGCTTAAAATGGAGTCAGGAAAGCATTACCTTCTTAATGTCACTCTCTAGTGCAGTGAAAAGGTCCCAGATTTTAGAAAAGAGTATCAAGTTAAATAGAATTTCATTTTTCTCGACAAAGGTGACAGAAGTCAGCATCCATGCGGAATCTTGGGTAAAAAGTGAACAGCTAATTGATTTAGTGGTTCTTCGGAGTGGTCTCCATATTTCCTGCTTTGATTGTTTAACAGGAAATGAGCAGGGACCCTCTGATTAGCTGATTGCACAAACTTTGGGGATCATGGCAGTAATGACTTGGTAGCTCTCGTAACTTTTTAATTGTCATTATTTAAACAGCAAAGTGCATTCTCAGACTGCTGCTACATCTCTAATTAGTTGCTTGAAGACTACTCTATTCCTGAGGTTTTTGCTACTCTGGTCCTTCACAGAAGGAATGATAATTTTTGGCAGATCTGTTTCCTTAGTCTTCCTTTCAATTACTAAATTCATTGAAGGTCACAGGGTTAAGCTCCAGTAGGGGTCACTTTTTTGGCCTTATTCTAAATAGATGTTAGTTTTAAGCTTCGAGGTTCAGCAGTGTGATATGTGCAGAGTGTCACAATTCTTCAAATGCAGGTTTTTCTCTTCTTCTATTTGGAATGACCTTCATCAGACTTTTTTTTCTTCTCTTCATTCTTAACATTTTAAGAAATCTTGATTATCAGTATGGGCATATAAGGAAGAAAAAGTAGCTCAAAACTATCCCTGGGATTATGACTTTAACAGGCCTAAGTCACATCAACGTTCAGAGAAGCTATCTATCTAGATGATTCATTCCCTTTGACTTTTAATATGCTTTAATTTTGTACTAAGAAAACGTTTTTTGGAAGATAGTATTTGTTACTCTTATATTTTGTAAGGAATAGAGAACAAGAGAATAGAAAAACAAAGGGTTATTTTTTTTCATTGACAAGGCCAGTACAGTCAGTCACATTTAAGAGGCAGAAGCAACCTAGAGATTATAAAATGTGACAGTGTTTCACTCTCTCTGTATAATTGCTCAGTTAACCCCATAAAAAACTTGTGAGCCTCAGAAGGAAAAACTGAGATAAATAAAACTGTCATTGAAATCAATATGAAGAGACACTTCTGTATTATCTAGTTTACACCAAAATGACATAATGATTTTTAGCAGCTATTGACTGAATAATTTTATTTTGGTTATGGTTTTTAAAGTGTTCTTTTTGTAATTACTTTAAGAGGTGTGTTTCTATGTACTAACCAAAGGAAAGTTTTAAGAGGCTACTGATTTAGTCTGCTTTATAATTCACACTCACTGTGAATAGACTAGCTTCAATATATTCTGTCTGAATTCTTTCTATGGTGGAGACGAGAAATTCGTGCATTAACAATGATATGTTCATAGGGCCCTAGACATTCATTCCCCATTGTGACCAATTCCATATATTTTGGAGTGGCTGGAGGTAGATGTAAATAATCAGCAGCTGTGACTGAATTTCTGTTTTTTTGCTAAAAGCAAGACCAGATTTATGCCAGAAAAATTGCAATACTAATGCCCGTATTGCTGTAATCTACTTAATAGGTTTTTACACTCTGTATAAATAACAAAGAAATGTAACACAAACCAAACTTTCTTGATTAAAAATATAGATTTACAGAGTATATATGCTCCAGTATATATGTTTTCAGATTGCACTTTTAGAAAAAGACTAGCAAGCTAAATTCACATGAGTGAAATTCAAGCAAGATATAAAGAAAAACAAGGAAATTTTGATTTGCTGCCAGTTAAGAAAGTGATAGTGCCAGTGTGAAAGTCTGGAAAAAGAATGCTATGATGATAATCCAATATGCCCTGAATTACCTATGAGATTTTCCTAATGTATATAATGTACAGATTACTTAACCCAGTGTTTAAGATGTTATTAAACTTGCTTTGAAATATTTGCATTAAAATTTGCAATAGTTTGTCATGTGGAGGTCAATGAGGTATTACAAATTATAGTTTGCAAAATTTAATTTAATTTAATTTTGTACAAATAAAATGCTCAGAGCTTAAAATTACTTTCTCTTCACTGTTGCTTAGAGCAGTGAATAATGTCATTAACAATAAAAGCAAAAAGAAGTGTGATTAGATGATATGGTTTTTAAATGAATGAAAACAAAAGGATGAATATACAAAAATTTTATAAGTAAATGACATCTGTGGGCTTATCCTGCACCTGTGTGGATTTGTTTTGACCATTCTATGTTATATATAGTTGTTTTTAAGTTTGTTACAGATTGTTGGTTTACATCAAATCCTTTCATTGTTTTAAAGCCCCATTTAGCAATAGCATTACATTTCATAGATACCCATGAAGAGGTTGTGTTTTAATCATATTAGTGATTGGTTTAATGTAAATTTTATAAAATATAATATTGCTAATAATCGAAACATTATTTTTTTAACTTAGGAGACATCAAACAGGAGCCAGGAATGTATCGGGAAGGACCCACATACCAGCGGCGGGGGTCACTGCAGCTCTGGCAGTTTTTGGTAGCTCTTCTGGATGACCCTTCAAATTCTCATTTCATTGCGTGGACTGGGCGAGGCATGGAATTTAAACTGATAGAGCCTGAAGAGGTGGGTTTAATAGATTTTTGTGTGAAAAACCAGATATGTTATAAAGTTAAAGAAACATATATTTGATCAGTGTGCCAGATTTTTTTTTTAATTTTAAAACTTTAGGGAAACCTAAATTAAAAGGTGGGCAAAGGGAAAAAAATCTATACATTTAAACTAAGAAATGAAAATGTTGCACACTTTTCCAGTTGAATATCATCCTGTGGAATTGATGAAGAAAACCAACTGGAACATATCATGGGCATAAGACTTTATTCAAGAATGCAGTGCTTGGAAAGTCACTAAAAGAGCATCTAAGTAGGGGTTGTGTCTTAATAAAGGTGCTTTCTCTGCTACTATTAAAATGGACTTTAGTTTACATTAGCCAAGAAAGCAATGGAAGACTTTCAGTTAACATGTCTGTGACTGATCATTTTGGTTGTAGGGTCGAAATGTCTCAGAAAGATCGAAAAAGTTAGTAAGATATCCAGCTATTTTTGAACCCAAGTGATTAATTTCACATAGACTGGACATCTACAACCTAGGCTAATGAGCCTATACTCTTAAATTTTCTGCCCTTTGAAACCATGTATTCATTTATAATCAGATCACATGTCCTAGTTTGATATCCAGAGGATAAGTCACCTTTCTTATTTGAGGTTTTCTGATTCAAATATGTAGTAAAAGAAGTTTGAAATAACAGGAGGTGGTTAGCATAATTATAAATCTATGTCAGATTATAACTAGTGCTTAGAGGGTTAGTTTTGCATCTCCATTGCCCTATACCAAACACACACAACAAATTTCAGATTTTGAAAATATCCATTGTCTAGTACGGGCTAAATGTTTGGGTATTTGAAATTCCGTAGCTTAATTTGGCTGTCAAGTGGAATTCGTTTTTATGTAGATGGACTTAAATGACGTAAGTTAAAGAGTAAGTTAAAGAACTGTAAAATGTGAAGCACTAACAAGTTGAGACTCGAAGCACTTAATGTAAAATAACTTGAAAGCCCTTTAACGTGATGGAAGTGTGTGCCGTTCACGTCATCGAACACGTTAATAATCACTGCAAGAGTTGGTTCATCGGAGAACTGGGCACGTGCAACAGGGATTTATATCAAACGGTTATTTCCCTCTACCTGTGACTAAAATAAAGTGAATAGAAGCAGAATTTTGTATTTTTTTTTTTGCCATGTATTTGTTGAGGTGAAAAAATTACTGAATTATGTTGGCAATAATTGACCTCTTGAGAATAAAATCCTTATAAATGTAATTAAGTTCTCTATTTAGCAATTGTTGACTTGCATAATGATTATGTTGAATTAAGTAAAATGGAAGACTTGAACAGATGACCATTTAAGTTCCATCACATTCTGAATTTTTGTGATTTTTAAATGCAGGACAAAAATACAGTTACATCTGTTCAGTACAACAAACAAACATTTAGATACCTTTTCTGTAGTGGACTCAAAGTAGAAGAGAGCCAGGTAATTCAGAGTCAGTAGACCATTTCTAAGCAGTAACTAACTCAATGGTAATTGTTTAGTAAGTACTAAGTCTCCTAAGGCAATTGTTTAAATGAAATATCACATTTCTTTTTTTTTTTTTTTTTTTTTTTTAAGTATATTTACTTTGACAGAGAGAGTCGTTGCACACATGGAGAATGGGAACAGAGGCAGAGAGAGAATCTCAAGCAGGGTTGGTGCTGTCAGTGGGGAGCCTGACACAGAGTTCAAACTCTCAAACTTGTGAGATTGTGACCTGAGCCAGAATCAAGTGTCAGACACTTAACTGGCTGAGCCACCCAGGTGCCCCAAAATGTCACATTTCTGCTGCTGCTTTGAACGCTGTTGCGATTGCTTCCATTAGGCAATGACTGTGCCTTTTAAATGTCTTCTTTGCAAAGTGTTTGAAATTTCTTTTAGCCTCTGCGGCCCATGACCACCCTCTTTCTCATACTATATAGTAGCTCTTGGAGGATCAGCACAGCTCTGGAAATGTGCCTCTGAAGCCGTCCTTGCTGGAATTACTCATAGGTTCCATTTCTTTCTAGAAATGTCATTTTGCAGTTTGCAATATTGAGTGAGACTATAGTCCTGTGGCTGATTATCCACTCAGTGTGTTTCGCTAACTTTAGCAAGCACATGGCTCTTTACTATTTCTCTTTTTGAGATATTTGAGATATTGAGATGTTATTTTCAAATTAATCATGGATCCTTGGGAATTGTCTCAGGGAACAATTATTAACATAGTAAAATATCTCTAGGACTCAGAAGTCTTTCAAAGATAATTCAAACTTGTTGACCTGAAAGAGTTACCAAGAAGTCTGATAAGCAGGCCCTGATTGTGGTTTCCAGGCTTATTGTTAATTATTCGCATGCGTTTTTAAAAGTAAATTGAGTAATCTACTTACTTCATTTGACAATAGGGGTGATTTTTATAGCACAGTTGCCTTTTTGGTTTCCTCACTAATGGTTGAAGTTTTCACTTGGAGGAGTATCCTAAGGAAGGCACTGGAAATATAACCACCATTGCACCTACTCCTTGTTGAAAATGTTGCCTTGGCTTTTGGCAGTGATGAAGATAACCGTGCTGGTGGGTCACACATGAGGGCTGAGAGGGCTTTCCTAGTTGGAAAAGGTGGTCTCACCTATCCTGGAAATTATTTGAAATATCTATCAATTTTTCAGTCTTTTTTATATTTATTATTGGGGTAACAACATTTAACATGGCATCTACCCTCTTATCAAGTGTATCATATAGTCCTGTTAACTGTGAGTACACTATAGTAGAGCAGATCTCTAGAACTTACTCATCTTGCATAACTTGTCTGCATCTCATAGGCATATTGGTATGTCACACTTTCCTTTATGAATATGACACTGAGTCAATTTAAACAGCTCTAAGAATTAGGGCACCTGAGTGGCTCATTCAGTTAAGCATCTGACTTCAGCTCAGGTCATGATCTCATGGTTGGTGGGTTCACGTTGAGCCTGCTTCAGATGCTGTGTCTCCTTTCTCTACCTTTCTTCTGCTCATGCTCACTCTCTCTCTCTCTCTCTCTGTCTCTCAAAAATGAATAAATATTTAAAAAATTAAGAAAATAACTGTAAGAATAAATCTATTGTTTAAAAATATCTAGTAATACCCACTTGTGCTGAGAATTACCTGGCATCCTCAAGGCCAGACCCTGCTTATGGTATAAAAAAAATCATCTTTTTTCTCCCTAGAGACTTCCACTGTGTTGTCTTCAAGTTGGTTGCAGGTTTTTTACTTTCTAGGGGAATCCTGGTGAGTTTCTAGATGAGAAGCATTTATAAATGAAAAAGTATTCATAAGTCGTTGTTTAATTTATGGAAATATTAATAGTTTATTTTCAAACAGTTACAAACAGGGAAGAAGGGAGGCAAACCACAAGAGACTCTAAAATACAGAGAACTGAGGGTTTATGGGGGTGGGGAAGAGGGGAAAATGGGTGATGGGCACTGAGGAGGGCACTTGTTGGGATGAGTGCTGGGTGTTGTATGTAGGTGATGAATCATGGGAATCTACCCCAAACACCGAAAGCACACTGTAGACACTGTCATTTAGCCAACTTGACAATAAATTATATTTAAAAAAAAAGAAAAAAAATATATATATAAAAGAAAAAAGAGTTTGTTTTCATGTCTCAGGTTTGCATGCTGTTCACTTGCCGAATCTCTTAAAGATTTACTGATATCTATTCGGTTTTTAAAAGGCATTTTATTTAGAAAGTATTGCTTTCATTTCTTACTGCCACCCTCCCATTTCACTACTGCTTAGAACACTTAATTAAAATGAAGTTTATCTTTGGACAATTAAGATGTGCCTGCTTTGATGACCACTTGGGTATGTCATCATGTCCCTGTTACATCACATTTCTCTGCTCTTAAAAAAGTATAGGAATGCATGTGGCTAAATTACATTGTATGTTTATTCAGGGAATACAAATTAGGGAGATAGAAAATAGCAAGGATCAGTATTTTCAAAAGAGAGGAAAAAAACCCTAGGGAAAGCCTATTGTTAATAAAACGGAGAAAAACAGTCTAATCTCTCTGAAGAGCATTCTATTTTAGTGTATGGGACATAGCAACAACTTGGAATTTCATAGATATGAAGGAAAACACTAGCCCTGTTAGATAATGCTCTCCTGAGGTTGCCTAGGTATGCATGACAGCTGCAGTGTCTGCTCAGACTAATAAAATATGGAAATTAACGAGAATACAACTTTAGCCGGGGTAGCAAAAGCAGACTATGCTGTTCCGTACAATGCTTCAGCTGGCCCAGGGCAGTGGTGACACAGGGGACACATATATATGGAAGAAGGGGGTTTTCTTGAAAAACTCTCCTCTGCCAGATAAGTCGCTCCTCCAAAGCCAATTTATAAAAAGTTCTGAGATTTTTTCACTGAATAACAAAGTCGACATTCTGCTTTAGAGATTTTTGTTTGTGGACTCGTGTACATGGTGACCTTTTCCACTTCCTTCTTATTTTTAGTATCCAATTACTGTTGTCTAAATGAATGCCTAATTCGCCAGTTTAGTATTGGTTACAGTTTTATTCTGATGCTGCTTCAGGCAATAAAAATTATTTGCAGTTCAGATTATGAATTTGTATAGCGTTTCCTCTGCTACACATAAAATGCCACTTGTGCGTCTTTTATTTAGTATCAAACAGGGTATTTTTTTCTTTAGTTTATCACAACCTCAAAAAAACACCTTTACAAAGAGACCACTAAGCTGTTCTTGATCTATGGGTTTCATCTGAAAAACTAAGAGGGAAAAACAGGCCGTATATCTCAGAATGGGAAACTTGCCTCATCTTGGTGAATTGCAGCCTGTTTGTTCCCATTGTAAACACATCCCCTTATTTCCATTTAATTTTGTATCCAAAACAATAGTCACAAAGAATTCTATTGTGAAGTTTCAGAATGATCACTGCGCTGCACGCCTGGTTTAAAACCAGACCAGGACACAGGAAAATTCAGATCATGATAGCTTTTGCCTCTTTACTTAGGTCTTTAATTTGGATGTGATTTGGAAGATTTGGAAGTAACTGATTAATTCGCTGATGTTTTACGAAATATCTTGATCAGGCAATACTTAACACTACAATGTCATTTTGTTTTGGTGGCAGGTGGCCCGGCGTTGGGGCATTCAGAAAAACAGGCCAGCTATGAACTATGATAAACTTAGCCGTTCGCTTCGCTATTATTATGAGAAAGGAATCATGCAAAAGGTGAGCAGCTAAAACAGCATTAAAATTCATTGAAATGTTGCACAATAATCTGCATGTCATACTTTAAAAGCCACATATCATTGCATTGCTGAAGCAAGGTTTTCACTCATTTTAACATATGCTTAGCTCTTGGTTTTGGTATAAGCCTTACTATTTATAAATTCCTGGGCATTATAGACCAGGGTAATAATATCATATAGAAACTACTAGACTTTCTTGCAGTTCCAACTTTGCCGTATTTGGTGAAAAATGTTTCAGTACTAATATTCACGTGTATCTTCCCAGACATTGGTAATCCACTGCATTCCCCACAATTATATAATTTGGAAGTGCTTTTATTTATAGATTCCAATACACACTGAATGCTTACTTCTTCCGCTCCTTGTTCTGGTCCTTTAAAAACATTCAGAGCATTTCTTGTTCTGAAAAATGTTTTCTTCTTGTCTGAGATTTTGCCTGGTTTCAGCACATGACAGCTTAGAATTCTAAACCATTTATGGAAAATAAGTATTTGATACTATTTCATTGGTGAATGAAGTTAAATATATTTTCATTCATTTCAGTTGAGCTTCTCCTAGTATTTGAAAGATAAGACAAATTAAGTCCATGTAGAAGAGTTTGTAAAAGTTTTGAAGAAGGGAATGAACCGATGAATAAAGATAAAACATTGGACATTTGTTACTATTAGATCCTTCAGCCTTGTGTGTGTATTCATTCCAGTTGTGTAGACTGTGAACCAGGTTTATGATTTATCCATTGTGAACATTACTGTTTTATTACGCATCCTCTGTTCATATGGGGGACACAAACATAGTTACATATTCCACACCGTGGCGTATTTTTAGACCACGATAGTTATGCCAGGGAAAACTAAACCATTTGCTACATGTAACATTTTGGAATAGAGGGAACAGCATCATTGAGTCTTTAGACCAGACGAATCGGTGCTCTGGACTTCGTTAGCTCGGAAGTTAAAATGACCAAGATCCTTGAAAGATAAGGCTGAATCCATTTCTTGTTTACTATTTCCCTGAATCTCACCTTCAAGACATATAACCAATACTTGCTCCCCTGTGTTCTCCATCTCATCCATAGGGTCTGTTTTATTCCTCCCTCCTTCTCACCCACCCTTCCCATGGACAGTGAGACCCTTTCACTTCCCTCACCGCATGCCTAGTCCCAGCACATCACGTGGGCTGGTGCTGCATGTGCCCCCCAGTCCTGGGCAGTGTTGCACAACAGTAAGAGAAAATGCACTCAGGATTTAGGTTTGCATGCTGACTTCTTGGTGAGTCACCTTTTTCAACAGATTTTTTCCTTGCTAAATGGTGGTGATTTTACTTCCTGAGGCTGTTCTGATTATTAAATGAAATAAGGCACCCGAGACCGTTGTGTGGTACCTGGCACAGTAGAAGTCTTCAGCGAATGGTAGCTCTGAATTCCACTCACACCCTGAAGCCAGTGTAAGCTGAGACACATTTGGCTTGTGTGTCCTGACCATTAAGTCTCTTATTAAAGGGAGCATTCACAGAGAGCTAAAAAGAAGAAGGTCTCTAATTACACCTCAGCTTTTAGACATAGTGTTTGACAGGGTATCTCCAGGATGTCACGCCAGGTCTTAATTATTCTCAAGAGTGTTCAGACGTGCTTCTTATTACTAATATCGCCATGTTCCATGTTCCTATTTATGTATCCAGTGATTACATATACCATGTGTTTACCTCTTATTTTAATAGATTGATAAAACAAGATGCTGTCAAATAATGGCATAGATACTAAAATACAGATTAAAATAGTGTTGCTCCTCACATTTTCCCCTATTGGGATGTAATTGCCAAAAGAAACTGTTGGCACCTATTTATCTATCAGCTAGTATAGGATAGCAAAATGTCTGTGTTTTCTATGACACACCCTTTGGGGTGTTGCCGCGTAATGTGAGAAAGCATAAGATGCTTAATGGTGAAACATACAAAATTGAAGTCTCTTGTAGGCAGCACATAAATGAAGGCTGTTTACAATTTTTACAGACATATTTATTCTTTTTCCTCATATGTGTTTAGTGATTCTGTTTGCTGCTATTTGACACACCTCCATCCCCCTCATTACTTCACTGATATGGTTCCCTCTTTATAGAGTGTCTTGCCTTCTGAGTCTTACCTAACATATATATCAATCCAGTGGTTAAGTAAATTTTAACAGGGTCACTGAGGGAAATTATGCTATCCTTTACAAAAAAAAGTATGATATAGAATTTTATATTCCAGTGTATAGTGGAAAATGTTTATATGACCACACATGTTTAGAAACTTAAAATTATGATACTCTGGCTTCTCTTCAGATCATATAAACTTAAAATTATGAATGTATGTGGTGTACATCAAGGAAAATTAAATGGAAAGATTAGAAAATAAAAATAAATGGATCTAAACATATTTAAAAATTCCGATTATTTCAGTAGTTTTGAAAGAAGAAATGGTGGAGTATGGCTTTTAGACTGTACATACATGTGTGCACTTCTGTTTCAAAACTTAGAAATGCCTACACAAATACATGCAAGTATTTTAACAGTGGTTATTTCTTGATGATATAATGATAGATCATTGTTTCCTTTGGTTTAATGTGTAATTTTTAATTTTCCTCTAGTTACCCTGTGTTACTTCTGTGATTTTAAAACTTAACACATAATTTAAATATGTAGTCTTTTAAAGCACAGTTCAAAAGATACTTCCTTGTTTAATTCTAATTCATCTCCTATAAAATTCATGTTCTATCTCAGCATTGCAGTTTGGGTATACTTAATGTACAGCATTTGTTACATTATAATTGTATTACTACTAATAAAACACATTATTTCCCTCGGGTAGTTATCAGCCTTGGTTCTAAACTCTGTGGCATCTAACATAGTCTGATAAATATAGTGGTAGCTCCAAAAATGTTTTTCGTAAGAAAAATAGCAGGAAGCAGTGAGTCAGGGCAGACTCCTTAAGAAGTTTTCTAATCTTGATTGCATGTTGTACGTTTTAATTCCCCATGGTGATTTATCAAATCATTTCTAATTATAACCAATAGCAACAGGTTGGATAAAAAAGCTACCAGTAGCCTAAAGCAAATACCTCTTTTTCTGAAACTCCAAACAAAACAAAGAAGGTTATTAAATGCTCTGAGGTATGCAGGCCATTTATTATTTTTTTTCCTCAAAATGCTTTGAATAAAGAAAAGAAAGGAAAACTAGGATTTCATATCTTAGCTTTGTTTTTGATATTACCTGTTTTTATATTTATGGTAAATCCACCTTTATGAGCTTAATTTCTTTTTTATAAAGGACAAGTAAATAAATTTATGCCAGCTCCTCAGTTTGTGATGCAATGTACTAGAAACTTCCATCTCAATTTTATAAGAGGCTTTCCACAGTAGCCATTTCCACTTTATTTCACACACAAAAAAGGGGAACTGAGAGCAGATTAAGAAACATGTCCAAAGTTATAAAAACTGAGTGTTCCCTGTTTTCATACCTAAGAATATTCAGATTATTTGGTTTCTCTATACTGGTTGCACTTACAAGCTAAAAAAAAAAATTCAGTACAAAAAAATGTTCTAAATCTTGAGTCCAGAACACTAGTGCTCTTTGGTAGTTGATTCATTTTTTCCAGACAGATACAGATAGTTTATAAACTATGAACTTACTCTTCTCCGGCATCACAAAGCAAATAGCAGTGCCTTTTTGATTCATAGGAACCCAGAGGTTTTGAGTAATTTTCACCTTTCTAAAATTACGAATCTCTACACGCACACGAAAAGTTACTGTCATTGTCAATACAAAGAATTGTATTCATACACACACACCCTCCACCTCTATCCCCAACCCACCCCTGGTTTTTTTAGAACCTTAGTTTTGTCTATTAATAGAGGTGAGGGTGCATATGTGTTTCACTTCATTATTGTTTATCATTTCCTAGAGAAACATTATTCTTCCAAATTTAAGTTTGGGACATGTCATTCCCTACAAATTATGCTACGTCTCCTTTATTTCAGACAGCTGTCACATTTCTTTTTTCTCATTTCCTCCGTATGCATTGTATATTTTAAATTCCTTTCACTTCTTTACACCTCTTACTTCAATTTGACACTTTACACACATCCTTAACTTCTGTCTAATGCATCTTGCCTTCATTTTTAAAAGTGATGTACCCAGGATAATGCTGTCTCCTTGATCCATCTTTCATTTAAATAGGGCTATGCATCTTTTGGGTTTTTCTTTTCCATGAGAATACACAAGTGCCCAAAAAAAAGAAAGAAAAAAAGAAGAAAAAAAAACAACAACAATCCACCCTGTGAATCAGTGAGTCACTAGTCTAGTCTTATTAGGATTAGGAGCATAACACATTTTTCTTTTAATGTTTAGAAATTTAATTTTTATACAATTTCAGAAATGTAATATTAAGAGGGAGACACTACGCCTTAAAGATCCAGTCATTTTATAAATAATTACCTTTTAAAACAAAGGGAAAGAAACTCCGATGGGAGTTGTCTGTCTGAAATCATTGATTCCATCCCCTCACCCCCATAACAATGTAAATTTCCTTTTATTTAAAACAAGCAAACCACTAAGCCTTCTAGCTGTGCCTGGAATAAATGTTATTTCTCAAAGTCAATCTTTACTCCAGGTCGCATTTCCCTCTATTGGACTGTAGTTTATTCCACAAAGTAAAGAAGACTTTTGTTTGGTGTTTTGTTTTGGTTTGTTTTTTTTTTTTTTGGCTTTTATGGATATCTGCAAACCCTTGGTTGCTTTTCTTTAGTTATGCATCCTTTCTGGTATATTAAACCATGTTTTTATTCTTTCCTTTCCCTGCTCTTTATCATTTGGTGATGGTAAAGATCACAGTTCTTCTCATGTCCATTGTCGAATAACGTTACATCATTTTCAGGTGTAAAACATAATGATTCACTACTCATATGTATCATGAAATGTTCGCCACACTAAATTCAGTTAACATCCTGCACTATACATAAGGCTGGGTTTTTCTCTTCCGTGTTTCATCAGGTGGCTGGAGAGAGATATGTCTACAAATTTGTGTGTGATCCCGAAGCCCTGTTCTCCATGGCCTTTCCAGATAATCAGCGCCCACTGCTGAAGACGGACATGGAACGTCACATCAATGAAGAGGACACGGTGCCTCTGTCTCACTTTGACGAGAGCATGGCCTACATGCCGGAAGGGGGCTGCTGCAACCCCCACCCCTACAACGAAGGCTATGTGTATTAACACAAGTGACAGTGAAGCAGGGCCTCCTCACGTGTTCCTTCGTTTTGCAGGATGCAGAGAATCTCTGAGTTCTCTTCAATCTTTGTTTGATTTTTGTTGTTTGTATTTTATTTTTAAATAATAATACACAAAAAGGGGCTTTCCTGTTGCATTATTCTATGGTCTGCCATGGACTGCGCACTTTATTTGAGGGTGGGTGGGAGTAATCTAAACATTTATTCTGTGTAACAGGAAGATAATGGGTGAATGGGTGGGGGAGTACGGGGATTACTTTTTACTTAGGCTTGGGATGGGGTCCTACAGGTTTTAAGTATGATGAAGCTATATCATGTTTATTTGATTTCATAACAACCTAAGAAAATGTTCATTTTCTCTGGGTATCTATGGTACAGTTAATTCGCATTGTGTAAATATCCACTTGGAGACTATTAGCCTTGGGCATTTTCCCCTATCATTTCTGAGTCTCTGCAAGGTGTACAAAAAAAAAAAAAAAAAACAACAAAAAAAATAAAAAACCACACACACAAAAAAAACAAAAAAACCCTACTGTAAATGGCAGTTTAATTGTTAGAGATGACTGGTTTTTGCACCTGTTGTAAAAAGGTATTTAGAGATTGCATTTGCTGTTTTTTGTTTCGTTTTGCTCTGTATGTGACTCACAGAGGATAACCATAAAATGGGTAATTCTCTGTGAAGTTGAGTGATCACCATGACTGTAAATGAGGGGCACAATTTTGTACTCTGGCTCCAAACTGAGTCACAGGCCAGTAGCATTACATGTATCTGGTGCCACCTTGCTGTTTAGATACAAATCATACTGTCGTTTAAATATTTTGAAGCCCGTTTCAGTTAAATAATGATATGTCATGGTCCTTTGAGATCTTCATTTAAATGTTAAACCCGGGATAACAATGAAGCAAAAAAATATCTATCTCACTTCCTTCAATACATAAAAAGACATTATTTAATCGATAAGAATTAACTGTACTAAATCACATATTATGCTGTTCTAGGTACAGCAAGCACTCCTTAAGAAAAATATCCAATACACTAAATAGGTACTATAGTAATTTTTAGACATGGTACCCATTGATATGCATTTAAACCTTTTACTGCTGTGTTATGTTGATAACATATATAAATATTAGATAATGCTAATGCTTCTGCTGCTGTCTTTTCTGTAATATTCTCTTTCATGCTGAATTTACTATGACCATTTATAAGCAATGCAGTTAACTACAGATAGCATTTCAGGACAAAATAGATGACTCAAACCATTTATTGCTTAAAAATTAGCTTACGCCATGCTATGCTATAAGCAGCTTTTATGCACATTGACAAATGAAGAGTAAGCTTCAGCTTGCTAAGGGAAACTGTGGAAACTTTCGTAACTTTTGGTGAAATAGAAAATTATTTACAAACTGTCAAAGAATCTGAGGAAGTTGCTGTATGACATAGTGCTGGCACTGATACTCATCATCTTGTTTTGGACACTTGTGTAAATGTGATTGGATTGTTTGAAAGAAGATTTAAAGTTTCAAAGGTTTTTGTTTTGTTTTTGTTTGGCATTTGGAAAAAAAAATACTGAAAGCAGAATATGTTGTTTCATTCACCTTGAAAAAGACCAAGTAAATGGTGTTATGATATCTTTGAAGAGCTGGCTGAACCATTCAGACAAGAAGCATGAATTTTTTTCAGTCCATCAATATCCCAGAGGAACGACATTTTTTAAGAGTCTATAGTGAAATGTTAAAAAAAAAAAAAAAATCCAACACACAAAGCCAAATGAACCTATAAAAGCATTTCTTGATGACCACAGGAACGATTGTTGAAAGATGATTTCCTGGCTACCCATTTTCCAAAATGACACAGATCACAGCTCATATATCTAAATTGAACAGTTATTGGGAAACCCATATACTGTAATCAATACTAGTCACGTTTAATCCTACAAAAAGGTCTATTTTAATTTCAGCGTATGTATGTAACCTGTGATTTCAATGATTGTTCTGCATATACATTATATATCATTAGGCCCATTATGGGTTAATAAGTATGCCTTAAAAATGAGAATTTTCCCCCTACTATGCTCATGTGGCCATTTACAGCACTTAGAATAAAAACAAATTTTAAAATACTCAGCTAAAGATTTATTGGAAAGAGTATTAACATATTTGGAGAAATTGAAGGAAAAATTTTAAGTGGGTCTTTAAAATAGCACCTAAATGAAATTGTATTGAGGATTCTTTTTCTTTTTTTCTCTCTTCCTTTTTGTTCTTTTTTCTTTTTTCATTTTAATATTCTAGTTCTAATTTCCCATTGGGGAAGAATCGGTTACGAGTAATCTTAATGGATGAAAGGAAGAACTGGTATTAATTATATAATATTTAAGGACAAACTATTTTTCTGCTTAAAGTAGTGACTCACAAAACAAAATGAGTAATTGGCCAACATTAAGAATATTTCCAACATAGAAGGATTCAAATGTTACATTTTAAACTCTCTTGGGAAATGTATCTAAAGTTCTTTTTTTTAAAGTTCTGTTTTTAGTCTACTTTTTGTTTGCTTGTGTTTTTAGTTTCAGATAGATTAATAAATCTGGCAGCTGATTCCTGCAAGATTCTTGTGTTTTGAATTTCTAATTGAATTGGCTATTAAAAATCAATTAAAAATATAACATTTTCCTTCAACTTGGTAAAATTAAAAGAAGTCTCTCACCTAGGGTGTTTGCTGCCTCTCAGTGAGGACATGCTATTACCCATAGGCTAATTACAACAAAGAATGGTATATTCTAAATAACTAATGAAAAATGACTTTTCTTAAGTTATGCCTATGAAGAATACTGAAAAATAAAAATCCACAAGCCTAGCAGGGCTGAACAGTTTTCTCAAATCACAGATGGCTGTTGGAGGTCATTTATTTGAATCTCCTCTCTACAGATTGTTTTAATTTCTTGTGGCTGCTGTAACGAAGGTAATGGTTTAAAGCTACACAGATTTATCCTTTTATAGTCCTGGAGATCATAAGTTCAAAAGGAGCCCACAGGAGCTAAAATCAAGATGTGCATGTAGAGCTTCTCTTGAAAGTTCCAGGGGAGAATCCCATTCTAGCTTCTTCTACTTTTAGGGGCTACTGACATTTCTGACTCCTGGCTCCTGGCTTCATCACTACGATCTTTGTTTCTGTGGTCACATCTCTCATTCTACTGAAGTCAAATCTTCCTCTGCCTACCTCTTCTAAGGACACTTAAAATTGCATTTAGGGTTCTCATGGAAAACCCAGGATGACTTATCCATCTCAAGATCTTTTCTTTGTCACACCTTTGAAGTCCCTTTTGCCAGTATCATTCACAGCTTCCCAGGATCTGGCTATGGAGGTGAAGGGGCATTGGGAAGGTGCTGTCATTTAGCCTATCACCTAGATGAAGACGCTATAGTAAAAATATTGATTTACCAACAGACAAAAGTTTTGTTGATGGAGATAGGGTTAGAAGTTACTGAACAGCATTTTCGTTTACCATTGAAATAGTTTTACTTTACTCTGCATAAATAGTACTGAAAGCATTCTATTAAAGTTTACCTAGTCCAGTAAAGGATCTGGTAATTGCATGAAATTATTACATGATTTAATAACCCCTCATGTAAATATTATGTGATGAGAGAAAAGAAAGTAAGGTGGGATAAATACAGAGTAGTAGCACAGTTAATTCTTTTGTCCAAGCCAGATGATATATTTTTTAAATAAATTTCTTTTTGTGCTAGTATCAGTGGTTACTATACAATCTTAACATCTGCAAGGGATTACTATTTATTAGGTAAGAATTTTAGAATATGTCTGTTTCTCAAAAGAACAATTCTAAAATATGAGTCAACTTATCTTTATATGACAAGGAAAGAACTCTATTATCCACTTTTATAGCATTTAAGCAGATCATGGGAGTTTCTAAAATGAGCCCCTTTGTCTATCAGGCAACATTTTAAGAGCTTATAATGACAAAACATTTCAGAGGAGAAGGCCATTTGAATGTTCATACTTGATATCTTAGAAGAAGTAATATTTAAAAGTGAATGAGCTATTTTCCAGTATAGTTTGAGAGGAAGAAGGGGAAAATAGAATTGTAAAAAAAAAAAATAGAAGGAAATTAAAGGAGGCAAATGAACATATTAAACAACTGTGGTAACAGTTCCATAACAGCCAACATTCCATAAAATAGCAGTGTTGGACATGGTGCTGGAGAACTTGACCCAATTTATTCAGAACACAACTAGTACTTTCAGGGCCTGAGTTAATTTTTTTAACATAACATGCATTTAGAAATATTTATTTTAAAAAATTATGGAAAAATATAGTTTAAGAAGAGAGTGGAGTAGTGGGTATCTTTATTGAAGTAATGATGGCTTTAGAATGTTCAATTATATATAGAATAGCTATGGTCTCTGAATTCATATGTAAGGTAGCATTTTATGGGGTATTTTTGCTTTTGTTTTTATTTTGCACGTAGGCTCTCCTATTCTTATTTACTTTCATTCTAACAATATATGTTTCTAGGGGGAAAACATTTTTAATTCACTTGGATGTATTGAAATTATACTTACGGTTTGAGAAAACATGCTATGACATTTGTGATGATAGAAAATTAAATATGCTCAAAACTTAAATCTAAAATAAAAGCCCAGAAACTGAAAACATGATCGTGATCACTCTGGAAGGTGGCACATCTAAAACTGGTACATGTCTAAATTTTTGACTTGCTTCTAATCATTTGCATCAAAATCATTTTAATCGTTTAATGTCTGACCGAACACTTGGGTAACATCTTTGCTGTCCACTACTTCCCATGTATTGTTCTCTTTCTGATAACTTAGTTCTCAGGACACGTGATCAATATTTTTAATTTCATGTTCTAATTTTTTTTTAATGTTTTATTTATTTCTAGGAGAGAGAGAGAGAGAGAGAGAGAGAGACAGCGTGAGCAGGGGAGGGTCAGAGAGAGCGGGAGCCACAGACTGAAACAGGCTCCAGGCTCTGAGCTGGCAGTCTGCACAGAGCCCGACGCGGGGCCCGAACCCACGAACCGCAAGATCATGACCTAAGCGAAAGTCGGACGCTTAACCGACTAAGCCATCCAGGCGCCCCTGTTCTAATCTCTTTTAATACATTACTTCACTTAATCCTCTCAGCACCTGTATGAAGAAGAAATCTGGGGACTCTGAGTCCCCAAATAATTCATGGGAACTCTGAGTTATTTCAGTGTTTTCCATGTGCTACCCAGTGTGTAAGTGTGACCAACAGCACTGCCTCTATCAGTTCAGGCTCTTTTTGGGGAGAAGCTGAGTCTCATGGCAAAACAAAAGTGTCATGTCAAGATGTCATGCAATCACAGGCAAATTCATTAACTCTTTTCTGTAACTTGGACCTAGCCACTTTCTTGATTTAAATTTCTAATGACTTAAAAATGCATGTAACAATGATTCACATTTTGCTGAAGCGCAGTCTTACTTAAAACATTTCTTGAACCATTTTTGAATAGTCTTTATAGAAAAATCTGGAAAAGAAATCAAGTGCCATTTAAACAACAGCACATCAAATGATGATTTTCCCCCCAAATCTTGAAGCATTTTAAAGACAAAATGATTGAAGTACCACTTTGTTTTTGTTTTTGGCTTTTTTTTTCTACTCAAGAAGCATACAGCTTACTGCTCGCAAAAGAGGCAGATGTACTGATCAAATTCGTCAGAAAGTTGTAAACACTGCCCCCATGATTTATGCTATTAGACATGACTTGTGAAAGTAATAGATTTTCCAGAAAACTTTTAAGGCACAGTAAATCTGAATTTACATGATTCAGAAGGAGCAATAGATTTTTAAATTAGAAAGTAGAGGGGCGCCTGGGTGGCTTAGTCGGTTAAGCGTCCGACTTTCGCTTGGGTCATGATCTCGCGGTTCGTGGGTTCGAGCCCCGTGTCGGGCTCTGTGCTGACTGCCAGCTCAGAGCCTGGAACCTCTTTCAGAGTCTGTGACTCCCTCTCTCTCTGACCCTCCCTCTGCTCATGCTGTCTCTCTCTCTCTCTCCTAGAAATAAATTAAAAAAAAAAAAATTATAGAAAGTAGAGCTGAAAGCATAGAAACTATTTTACAAAGAAATCTTAATTTGTTAAAATATCACATTACTGTGAAGTGAACTATGACATATTTATACATTTTAATTTCCTGAATAGTTAGTAAAAGTATTTATCCTATAGTTTAACGTGAATTCAATTGTCAGGAAAAAAAATGTAGTGGGAAAAAAATGGGAGAAAAAAAAAAGACAATGTGTGTGGCACTACTTTTTAATCTGCAGGCTAAACTGCTATCCTACTTTTAATACTACAGAAATATTTTATTTTATACTTAATCATAAATATTGGGGCACCTGGGTGGGTCAGTTGGTTAAGCATCCGACTTCAGTTCAGGTCATGATCTCATGGTTTGTGAGTTTCAGCTCTGCATGGGGCCCTGTGCTGGTGGTGGGGAGCCTGCTTGGGATTTTCTCTCTCCCTCTCTCTCTCTGCCCCTCCCCCACTTGTGCTTTCTCTGTCAAAATAAATAAATTTTTAAGAAGTAATCATAAATATTAAATTCTTTAATTTTTCTATTTTAAAAATGTAGTAACATGTACATAACACAAAGCCTGCCATTTTAACTATGTTTAAGTGTGTGATTCATTGGCATTAATTGCATTCACCATGTTGTGCAACCAAACCCACTATTTCTAAAACATTGAGATCATTTTATTCTTTTGGTTAAGTTTA